GTGGAAAAACATGGAGAACGAGCAACGGCCAATTTTTAAAAAACAGTAACAAAACATGTGCCATTTTAACAGGTGGGTGGCTGTGTCTCACTGTGGCTTGATTTGCATTTAACTAAGGACATCACTTGCCAAGGATCAATTCCAAGTCATCAGATATTTATGATCAGAGTTACAAATGATGCCCTTTGACCTGGAACTCAACCAGGAGACCATGGGGCAGTTCACCTCAGTGTGGGAGGTGAAAGATGAATAGGTTTTCAGCGGGACAGGAATGGGTGTCTGTTTGAAAGTCGCCCTAATTGCCATTTCAGATTAGCGGCTGCTGGATCCTGAGAAGCTGGAAATACACATGCAATGTGACAACTGATGGACACAGAACTAATCACAGCAGGGTTTCCTAATAGAGGTCATCGCCCTCCAAGCTCAGAGGCAAACACTGCATGGATCACAGAGAGGGGAGGGGTCCCTAGCTGTCATGTGTCTGCCTGGCTGGGCAATGACCAATGAGAGGTCATTGGTCATTTCTAGACCCTAGGGAGAGGGAGAACATGATGGCGAAAGGTCCCCTCCTGACAGAATGTCAAGCGTTACTGAGTAGACGGTCCTCAGGGTTGCTATGCAAATCAGAGTACTAACATGGCAAAGAGGGTAGGTGTGAAAAGCAGGCTGGGTTGCCACTGAGAGACATGGTACCTAAAGGTGGGTCCTAGTGATGGCCTTTGCCCTGTTGTGTGATGTTAACAAGCTCTGTCTATGCAGCAATAAAACCCTAGCAAACACTTTTGTGGACACAGCTATGTTGTGCACACCTGGCACAGGTTTGCTGACGACATCACACCGAGGGTGTAACAGGAGACAAGCGTGCATGTGACAGCGCCAAAGCCACCATAACTTCTGTCCTTCTGTTATCCTGCATGCTGGCTGTGTGCAGGGAACTCTGAGTGTCTCCGCTCCTCAGCAGCAGCAGCAGCATCTCCACCAGGCAAATGTGGAAATAGAGGCTCGGAAGAAGCCAGGAATTGGGCCAAGGTCACATAGCCAGAGAACGTGGAAGCTGCCAACCATTGCCCCGGGTCCAGCTATTCCAGAGCACAGAGAGAATAAATGGCAATCTTCTCATTACCCTCTGGCTCACCCACCTCTTCCCCTTCCTGCATGTGGAGAGACAATGACCAAATGAAAATGAGTCCAGATGTCTACATGCAAAGCAGAACAGCCTGGCCAGAGGTTGACAGACATCACCTCAGGCAGGAACATCAGCTGCCTGCCTGGCCTCCCTTTGCCTTGAGTACGTGGGAACAGCCAACAGTGAAACAGATCTCAACCAAGGCAGTTCATTCTGGCTACAGTCCTGATTGAGTAACATTAAGTAAAGGCTGCTGTTTCCCTTACAGATGGTGCAGTTTAGGCATGCATGTCTCCATTAGTATACCATTCAATTAAACATTGAAAGCTCAATTCAAACATCGCCTAGGCTGTATGGCTATGTCTCTCCATCTTGTACATCCCTGTGGCGGGCCCCAGGCTAGTGTGGACCACACAAAGTTTATCCATCCTACCTAGTGAGTCTCAGGGTGGTCAGAAAAAAAATGTGTGGTCACTGGGGTTTGGGACTTTCCACAAGCTCCCATACTCTTCTTCATAGGAATCATAAATTATTCCAGGAAGGGAAAAATAGTAGCTGATTAGCATGCAACTTCAGCAGCCAGAGTGGAGGATTTGGCCAATGACAAGCTCCTTTCCAGGTACCACTTTAGTAATAAGATGATCAGCATGAGGGTACTCAGTGTCTAGCTGGCCAAAGTACAACCCGTGAACTCTTCACAGGTGGATTATGATGCAGTGGAAATGAGGCCACACTTACTACAGAGACTTAAGTTCAGACTGTGTTTCAGCCATGGTGTCGTCTTGGGTGTGTTTGTCTTCACTTTGACTGACTTATCCTATTGCAAGGTTGGCTCCTCGAGATATTCTCCTTCAAATCCAAAGGATTAAATGTGTGATATAGTCAGATGATGGGACAAAGCAGCAAAGGAAGAGAGAGGTCTTCCTCACTCTGGCCACATCGTGCTCAGTGGTGCAGCCGTTATGTGAGTGCTTCATAGGTAGCGTTTTTCTCACAACATAGCTGCTTATGCAGACGCATATGTTCTCGTGAAGTGTATCCCGTTGCCTTGCATCTCCTCCGTGCTGATCTTGAACCACAGAATTGCTCTACCACCCACTTTCTGGTCTATCCCTGAAAGCCATTCAAATCTGAGTCGCACTTCCAACATGTGTGAGACACTCACGTGGCAAACTCTGCCACTCACAGCAGTGACCTACGGAAGCAAATGACCCCCACTGTACTTTTATTTTTTAAATAAAACAATGTTGTGGATATCGGTATCAACAGAAAGAAAACCCTGGGCTGTTCACCCTAAGTAGCTGACCGCAGGGCGGAGAGAAATCAAGCCAGGACTGAGCTAGAAGCTGCTTCCACGGTGGCTGGCATTCATTGTTCTGGAAGGTAAATGTGGGCTGCTACAGGAGAAAAGTCATCGGTAGTCTTAACCTGAGAGCTGCCATAGTGACATTCCGGATGTGATGTGCCCACTGGTATAATAGCAAATTGTCGCACCTGCTGTGCGGCCTGCATCCGAGAATGTAGCGAGGTGGTCGGGATAGATGACACAGAGACCGGTCGGTTGCTTTAAGAAAACTTTATGTTTCCCAAGTCAGCTTAGGAGGAGACCCCAGTCCGCTTAGGAGAGAGCTCTCAGAAGAAATCTCAGGAGAAGTCTCTCCAAGAAAAAAAGAGCTTCCCTTTTTAAGGACTTTTGCCATCCATTTACATACCATTCTTTCCACTTCTCATCCTCCTGGCTGGTGGTTTAATCTCCGGCCCTAGAATTGGGTAGACACCACAGGGGGCAGGGACAGGAAGAGGCATCTAGCCGTAGGGGGTGTGACAGTCATGGTATTTCAGTGAGCCAGCCCTTATCTGAGCCCTATCAAGCTTTAAAGCACTGAATTGTTTTCAGTAAACATTACATAGATGCCTGCTCCCAGGCCGAAGGGGAAGTGGGTTTCTGCTCAAGGTCTGGTGTCCCCACAGCAAATGTTATAATTATGGGGGAGTCTTAATTGCTTTTTCTATCACTGGGATAAAATCCCCCTAACTAAAGATGTCTAAAAGAGAAAGGGGTTATTTGGCTTAGAGTTTGGGGACACAGTCCACAATGGTGAGGAAAGGCTGGTGGTAGCAGGAGCTTGAGGCAGCTGGTCGTGTGTGACATCTACAATCAGGAATCAGAGAGAGATGGATGCTGATGCTCAGCTCACTTCCTTCTTTCTTTGTATTGCAGAAAATGACACCACCCAGCTATAGGATGGGTCTTCCTGCCTCAATGAACCCAGTCAATCTCACAGGCATGGCAGGGAACCAACCTAAGACAGACAATCCTCCAAAGGCTTCTTCTAGGTGATTCTAGATCCTGACACTGCAATGGCAACCAACTACATTTCTCTTGGATTTGATACCTGCACCACTGAGGGCATTTCACACTTGGCATTGTAAATCTGGTTAAAATTCCATGCCTGGCCCTGTGGGGGAGCCTACTACTAATGCTTTGTCAAATAGGCATGTTTTAAAATTGCTTTTTAAACATTTGCTTACACACATCTGTTAGTGCTGCTCTCTGTCTCTGTTAGGGAAGCTTCTCTTGCAGTGGGTACCAATGAATGTAGAGACTCACAACAGATCTAAGTGATGTGAATAAGAGAATATTAATGCTTACCAGGACATAAATATCACCCTATGTAAGGCCCAGGTAACACTGTATAGAAGGGGGAGTGAAGAGAATGTAAGAGGCAGAGAGCAGGGATCTGAGAGATGCCATCTTCTGGACATGGCATGACTACCACATGTGAGACTCACAGCAAAAAAGGATTGCAACACAACTGTGCTCATCAATGGTCCATCCTGAATGGAGAGCAGCTCATGAGGCCCCACCCACCTAAGGAGCTACTACATTCAATCAGTCACTGTGGGTGGGGTAAAGACATATTTTTTAGCCAGTGGTTATTTGCCTTTAATTAAGCAAATAACCCTATGTCCTTATCTCATGAAAGAAATCTTAATTAAGCACAGTGGGTCCTTAAGGCAGGAGTGAAGGTTTAGGGATTAAAGGCACATAAACTCTTGTAGATGGCCCAAGTTCCCAGTTCTCAACATCCACAACAGATGTTCACAACCACCTACAATTCCAGCACTGGGGATCTGACCTGTACTTGCATGTACATATACACACACAGACACCTGAGATGGCTCACAAAACAATAAAGACATGAAGATAGAAGGGGGTACTGGGACAAAGGGGTTTGGTAGGAGGAGAGGGGAAATGAGAGAGGATAATGGAGAGATGGAGAAAGTATAATAAAAGTAAACTATATATGTACAAAACTGTGAAAGGATAGATTTAAAATCAAAATAGAGAACAAACTCACTGAAATGCATAAATAAATGAACAAGTAAACAAACCCTCCAGCTGCTTCACCTTGCAAGGACACCTTGTGAAGGATATGGATGACAGAGGCCCCATGAACTGCTCCTCCATCTGGAACTCACACAGGCTTGAAGGCCAGTTCAGGTCAGTGTGGGATACATAATGACATGTCTCAAGATGACACCAAAAGAAAGAGAAGAGGAGGAAGAGGAGAAGGAAGAAGAAAGAGAAGGAGAGTAAGAAAGAAAGGAAGATGGAGAAAGAAGGGAAGAAAGGAAGAGGAGAAATAATATTACAGAAGAAAGGACCTTCAATTTGAAACGACTCATACCCTGATGAGGGGGAACACAGAAACAGACGCACAAGGGACATCTACAAAATGACAAAGGTATAAAGGCATCAGAAGTCATGAAGTGGTGAGGCCACATATTTTCCTGCGCACTTCAGAGGAGGTGCTGTGCACATCTTAATTTGGAAAACAAAAGCTCCAGACAGTGCAACATTTCATTAGAGTTTGTTTTGCTTTTTAAGCATTTATTTTATCCTGATTTATATGTGTGTGCATGTATGTATGTGCAACATAACATGTGCATGTATTACCCACAGAGGCCATAAGAGGGCATCAGACTCCCCCTGAAACTGCAGTTGCAGGTTGTGAGCTGTCTGATGTCTGTATTTGGGAACAGAACCTGGGTTCTTTGCATGAATAAACAGTTCATTTCACCTTTAACATCTGTATAAGTTAGGATTCTCTGGAGAGAGAAAATCAGTGGAATATATAGAATTGCAATCATCAAAGTGTTTTCTTGTATTGCTTTACAAAGTGGGAGGTTGGGTAGACCAAGAATAGTTGTCTGCATGCTGGAAAAAATGAAAAGTGAAGAAGGCACTGGGTCCAGGAATTTGGAAGACTCACCATGGATTACAGGATGGGGCCATATTGTATACAGACTTAACGCAACACTGAAAGGCACAGAAGCTTACTAAAGAGTGGCTGCTGTGAGTCCACACAGAAGACCGAGGACTCTGGACTCTGATGTTCATGGATTATGGCTGCAGCAATAGGTGAGCTTGCTTCAGAATAAAATATGCTGCATGCATGAATCTGTGTGTATGTGCTGGTTTCTTCCATCCTCTACTTTTATTCCGCCCCAATGCCCAGAATATTGAATGGTGCTGACAGCATTGTGGGAAGGTCTGCCCCATGGAGTTACTGTTCCACATATCTGTTCTCTCTGGGAATGTCTTCACAAATATGTCCTGATAAAAGAAGTACTGGGCATCTGTCATTCCAGTGACCTTGACTAAGAAGGTTAACCAGAACACATCTCACTTCTCCAGGTCATGGTCTTGTCATGTTGCAGTCAAGTGGAACTGTGTTGGGGACAGCCCGTACCTTCGTTTCCCTCACAGATCCACAGAGCAGTGTGTTCAGGTCCTGCTGAGGCAGCCAGCCTCCCGAAGATCCAAGCCAGTCTCACAAAGCTGCCTCTTAAATAGAAGTTCTCAACAGTGCTCCAGGGAGTGCCAAGTGGGAACTCTCATCAAATATAAAAATTGTACGATGGTTTAGTCTCAGAAAATGAGACCATGTTCTGTCCCATTAGGTTTTCTACTGCCTGGGCAGCTCATTGTGCTGAGTGACTGTCTCCATCTTGGAGCTCGTGTCCCCTGGAGAGAAGGCGACCTTGTAGTCATCAGTAGGAGTGAGCTGCTTCATCAGACAAAGATAAATATTTCACTGAGTTATATGTTTCAGGGGAGGTGGGGGTTAGAAAAGAAGACCCTTGAGATCCAAGGTAACTCTTCAAATTGTCTTTTCAATTTCATCCCCACCCTATTAAAAGCTTTACAGCTTCCTTTACCTAATCTTGAATAAGCAACTTCTTTCCAGGGTATTAGTGTTTTAAGCTTGCTCTGCAATCACAGAGTAAATCCTAAAGGAGATTGCATTCACCAAAAGTGCACTGAAGATGTCTTCTCCATTATCTTAATGCTATGTAAACACAGCCTTCCAAAGCAAGCTGTAAATTCCCTTCTAATTAAATAGAATACAGTGACTGTACCATGAATTTCTCCATGTAACCTGTGAGAAAGGTTATCCATGGACTCTGAAGACCTCAGCTCTTGGGGTTGGAATGAGAAAGCCCACCACATAGAAAGGCCATGTTTGGATGCTTTGGACAATGGTAGCAGGTGACCAGAAAGATCATCAGATCTAAGAGTAAACGAACCTTTTGGTGACTTCTACTGTAGTTGCTGGGTCACTGTGTCAATGAGGGTTATCTGGAGGAACAGGATAGGCCATCTGCCACTGTAAGAGAGACTCAGTAAACTGGCTCACAAGATCTCAGGGGCTGCAAAGTCACACTGGAGTTATGTTCTTGTTAGAAAGACAGACAGAGTGTTTAATTTGAGAATCTTAAAGTCTCACATTGAGGGAGAGGACGACTTCATGGAACCACAGACTAAGGAGGGAGCTGAGAAAGGTCTTGGATTGGCGCTGGTGCCCATCACATTCCAAAGAGGGAGACCCCACTGTCTTAGTTTCTGGAGGTAACAACAGTGCAAAACCTAAGTCTACTCCAGAAGGGTTGAGCAGAGACGACAGCTATTATACCCTGCACTTTTCCCTGTGTCGGCCTCAGCCCAGGGGATGCAGGGTTCATGCTGAGAAGTAGTCTTGCCACTTAGTTTGCTGAAGTTCCCAAGAGCTTTCTCGGGGAGCACCCAGAGACACATGCTGCCAGTTCTCTGGGCACCCTTCAATCCAGTCATATCAACACCCAGATTTAACCGCCACTGTCACTTTTATCTCCACCAATCTTTGGGAGTTCTTAGAGACAGCCCCAGATTTCCAAAAAGTAGAAACTGCCAACTCAATTGCTCACTTTCAAATTGAAAATTCATGAGCTGAGTAAATAGGTTCTCTTGCTTCTAAACTGTTAAGTTGTGTGGTGTCTTTATCACACAGAGATGGCTATCCAGAGCAAAGGCCTGTAGCTCCCGTTAAAGCAATGGCCATCGAGAATTAAGGCAAGTCACCATGTGGGCAGAACACAGGCCTTGGAACTACACTGAGCTCTCAGTGGGGAAATCTGGGCATTGCTCCTTTCCCAAGCCCAGCCAGCGTCTCACCACTCGGCACCTAGGTCACAGCCAGGGACGGAGTATCACAGTGTCTGTTCCTCAGAGCTGTATGACAGGTTGTTGTCCTAAAACACAGAAGAGGATAAGGCCAGAGAGTGAGTGGCTCAGTGGTTAACAGCACTGACTGCTTTTCCAAAGGATCGGGGTTTGATCCCCAGCACCATGTGATGGCTCACAACTTCTGTCACTTCAGTTCCAGAGGAGTCTATGTCCCTTTCTGAGGTCCAAAGGCACTGCACATGCGTGGTGCCCACGGCGCTCACACTTCTCCCCCCACCTGCCTACACACACACACACACACACACACACACACACGCACACGCACACACACACACACACACACACATACACAGAGATGCTTAAGGGGAAAATTGAAGGTGTATTTGGGTTCACAAATATAATTCATCACATAGAGTAGCATGGTGGAAAGAATGGCTTGCAGTATGGCTTGCTCAAAACAAGAAGCAGGGAAGTGGGACAGATGTACAGTGCTCTCCCAACTTTATCTTCTTTTCCTTTGGCTCTGCCAGTCCCCAGCCCATGCAATACTGAGTGTAACTCTTCTCCCTACCCTCCCAGTAGTTAGTTGTCTCTGAAAACGCCCTCACAGGTTCACCCAAGGCATGCCTCATTAATGCCCTAGGCGTTTCTCAGTCCAACCAAGTTGATGATCCAAATCAGCCATCTTGGCGCCCTGAAGGAAAACGAACAACAAAGTAATGAATTTAGAGCTATGAGCATCAGCTGTGTTTGCAGCCAGAGAAGCTGGAGACAGTCTGTGGAAGGTGAAGAGCAGGCTCTGGCATTGACAAGCTAGAAGCTCAGACCCATAGGAGGTAGTGGTATGTGGGTGTGGCCAAGGCTGATATTCAGGACTCTCGGTCTCCTAACAATGAGGGTACATTTCTGCAAGGAAATCACTGCCCGGAGAACCCTTTCTGAGGGGCTGTAGTATAGCACAGTCACTGAACTCCCTTCTTATTATCTCTTTGCCTCCACAATCAATACTTACCACCCAACCAAGCAACATGATACTAGATGGTATGGATGTGGATACATGACTGTCTTAAAATCATATCATAAATATTAGTGTCATGGATGGCATCTCACACAAAATGTGCCATGTGCCGTTCTTAGCAAGAAAACAGCCAGAAGCCTGTTGATGGCTGAAGAACAACAGTTTCTCTTGAAGACTTATCTGAGTACGTATGTTTCCTGGCTCTCTCAGGAAGCTGTGTGTCAGGACAGACTTTCCTGATAGCTTTCTGGCCAACTGAAGCTTGCAGTGTTTCTCTCCTCGTTTCTATGTTAGCTGTCTCAAACCTAATGATTGCTAGGATCAATTCTGTTGTGTTTTGCATTTCTGAGGAAATCACATAGAGTTTTAGCCCTGCTTTCTGGCTACGGCTACTGCAGGAATGAGCTTGTGGAAGATGCTCCTTGGTGTCACACACTGTAATAATGCTCAGCTTTGGGACCTTAGAAGGGCTGCCACTCACCCCACAGTGAGCATACACAACAGCATTGATGTAGCAACGGGTTTAATCCTATCCTATGAAGAATGCTATTTCTGGATCCTGGAACACTGCATTCACAGGGCATGCCTTCTCCAGGAATGTTTCAGCCCAGAACAGAATGGATCAATTAGTTAAAGCCATTTTGTACATAGCTGAGCAGACATCTCTATGCAAAACATCTCGCCCATTCTAGTTCCCACAAAAGCATAAAATGTCCATTTGCACCCAGTTTATTCCAAAACGAGTAGCTGTACAACCCTCGGGCTCACAGCCTCAAGCAAAGATTGAAAACAATGTTGCTTTGGAACATGAATCTACAAAAATCTTATGACAGGAGAATTCATCAAAGGCAATTTAGAAGGATACAGAAAACCATTCCCTTTCCTGTTAATGCTAATACCTGTATCCAGTAGAAGACAATCACCTTTATTATGAAGAGACTTTTAACCATGCAGAATTAGAATTCTATGTTTCAGGTTTCACTGTGAAACCTGGAAGGTATAGACTTTCAAGCTAACCTCCCAGATCTAGGCAGTCTGTCCACAGTCCATGTAGACTCTGCCTACTCCTGCATCCTGGACAGACATCACTAATCAATCACAGAACTCTAACAGCTGCCAACTTTGTCATCAGGATAATTTCCATTCTAGAACTTTTGGGATGCATTAAATTCGTGGCATAAAATCCATTTCATACTCATCCGGACTAGACTTTAAAGACTGCAGTGGGAAGTTAAAGTTGGAAGCATAAACAACCAGAAAGTTCAGTGTAAAAGGGTAAAATACCATATTTAAATATCCCCAACATGAAATAATATTTGGTACTGCTGTATGCTCTTAATCCCAGCACTCTGGAGGATCTCTGTGAGTTTTTCAGGACAGCTAGAACTTTTAAAATACATTTTTTAATTTTTGAGAATTTCATAAATACATCATGTGTTTTAATCAATTCTACTCCCAGCCCCTCATCTCTATTTTCTCCACTATCTCCCAACTGCTTTACCCTCTCAGCTTTATTATTATATTTTTAAAGCCCCTGAATTTACTTAGTGCTGCCTTTAAGTACATGAGCTATAGGTCCATCTGCTCGGCAGTCTCTCAGGGGTCACATCCCTGACTCTCCATCACCCAGTAGCCATCATTTTCCAACAGTTCCTCAGTTAAGGGGTGGGACTTCAGCAATCGCTCCCCCACGCATACTGGGATTTTGCCTGGTTTAATCTTACACAGGTCTTGTATCTGAAGTTGCAGACACTGTGAATTCATGTACAATGGCTCTTCCTATTGTGTTTAGCAAATACTGTTTCTCTACAGGCATCCACTCTCTATGGCTCTAACAACTTTTCTGACCCATCTCCTGTGATGATTCCTGAGTTTGTGGGGAGAAGTGTGTTATAGACACATTATTTGAACCCTGAGTATCTCAGTTTCTTATCCTTCACACTACCCAGTTGTGTGTCTCTGTCAAAAGAAGTTCCTTTATTGAGGGTTGAGAGATGTAGTAATCTCTGGGAGGACAGTGTATCACAATGTACACTTGGCAGAATAGTAGCACTAAATTCTCCTCCAGGGCCCATGACCTCTTATTACATTCTCTAAGGCACTGACTTGGGGCCACAACCTTGCATACACTAAAATGCACTTGTATTAAAGCACACTTGCATTCAAGACAACCCCATGGATGCTTATGCAATGTAAGAGTGCTATAAGAACATTCTGCAGAGAAGTGTAACCTGTGTCCATATTATCACAAAATATTTAGATAAAAGTTTCACAAATAACATTCTGTCTAATTTTATGAGTTTGTGTTTGTTAAACATAACTCAGTAAAGGTGGGAAACATGCCATGGAGTAATTGTTTCCTGATCATTCATTTTTGTCTTTGTAAAATTTTGAACTGCATAGTTGCCAGTTCTCCATAGCTCAAACAGTGAAGACACCCCAGTGTTGAGAGCAATGTAATCCCAGGAGGCTGTAGATGTGAGGGTGTGTGCTGTTTAGATTAGCCTAAACGAATTAATCTCCTTTCACAGACTTTCAACAACACTGCATGTTAAATGTTGATCTGTGACTGAACCGTGTCTGACTTCCTTAGTCTGAGTCCCCACAAATAGAAGAATTTCATTTGAAATCACTTGGCTGAAATGATAAGGGAGTTATTTACCCATGGGAGCATTACGAGAAGAGACAATACAGTGCCCAGGAGCTGTGATTTGATGATTGTCTGAGGAAAGCCAGGCAAGAGGCAGAAACCATCCAATTTCAACTTGGTGATGGGCAGGGATATATATATATATATATATATATATATATATATATATATATAGAGAGAGAGAGAGAGAGAGAGAGAGAGAGAGAGAGATTGTTCTAGAATCTTTTTATAAAGACAACAACTTCATCAGAGCTTCATTCTTCCTTCCTCATGTAACCTTAATTACCTCCTTACTGGCTCTGAATTTAGATATGGTCACATTGAAAGTAACAGTATCAACCTGTGGATTGTGGGGTGGCTGCAATTCTGTCCCTACCAGTGGGGAAGGTGAAGCTGTGATTGCAATGTCCATCAACTTGAGCAGGGTCCACAAGCTATGTCTTTTCTGTTGTTTCTCTCTCAATCACTGCTGCTGAACATCAGAGAACTTCCCAGGCCATCCTGTCCAGTAAGGCTCCACACAGTGTTCAGCCACCAATGGGACCTCCATATCATCCTTCCCTACAAGACTCAGGGTGCATAATGAAGGGGGAGCAGAAAGGTGGTAAGAGCCAGAGGTTGAGTGGGGGGGAGATGGGACTCCTGAACAACAGTGTACTCTAACCACTACACGACTACTATACTCATAAACTCACAGAAGCCAAGAAACCTTGCACCGTGGAGGAGATTGGAACTCACAGACCCTACTCTTGGCTGACAGATATTGATGGTTGATGGCTTCTGGGGAAGGGAGTGTCAATTTTATTCAGGGTTGTGGCCTCACTTGTATTCTCCATTCTCCAGAGAATGGGCCCCACACCCATGAGCATACAGGAAGCTGTAATTTGGCTAAGTAGGCGATTTGCTTTGTTTTTAAGAGAATGTGAACTTGGGAGGGGATTGTAGAGAGGCCTGGGAGAAACTGGAATGGAATGGATGTACAATAGAACCGTACCATATACACACATGACATTCTCAAAGACTAGATAAGCAAAACTAAAAAAATTAAAGAATAATGTTAAAGTTTAAATGCATAAATGTTGTAGAAAACAAAAAGAAGTGGTTCCATATCCATCAGATGCGGGAACTCATGCTGTGTGACAGTTGGTGAATGAACCGGTTATCTGTCTAGAAGAGAGGAAGCCATATTTTAAGGAAGCTTCACGGAGTGTTCTAGCATAGGAGATTTCAGGAGACACGTGAGAGATGAGCTGCTGTCACTCTACCCTCATTGCCACGTCAAAGATCTGGCAAGTGGTCTGTAGCGAACCATTCTGTACCCCAGTCTCATGGGGAAATTGGTCACATTGCATATTTAGGGTGGGTCCTCTTACCTCAGTTAACATAACCAATATAAT